CCAGCGAGCCAGCCTGGCTATGGCTGCTCGCTCCCGCTGCCTGCTTTTAGTGTCCGTTCCCCAAGCGCCTGTGTACGCCCTCCAGCTGCCAGCGCTGAGGCGACCTCCAGCACTACAATGAGGCAGCGCTGATGCCCCGACACTTTCCTTCATGGAGAGATGTGGGCGCGTGCTGGGGCCCATTAGCTCCATGTCGTGCCGAAGTGTCTTCCCTCACGCCCAATTCAGACAGTGGCCTGGGCCCGATGCAGCTAGGCACCGCCCAACTGTGCGACTTGGCTCATTTCACACGCTGCATCTTTATTGGCTTGAAGACCTGTTTCCACGTCACTGCCTGGAACAGCCTGGAAGACTCACAATGCCGTGGTCTCATGGCATGCGGGGTCCTGTAACCAACTGGCGCCCCACGGCCTGGAAAATGCCCCCAAAGTAGGCCCTTTGAAGAATACAGGCCCGCCTTCACTCAGGGCGGGCACGAGTAAGGAACAGCGGGGCCGTTGTATGACTGCCGAAGGATCATTCCCCTCGCATTTACATGTTCATCTGATTGTCTCTGGATTGGATCTTGGGCGTGCACTTCACGGTTGTGTCAACTGTGCTAGGCCTGGTGGTTGTTTTCCTTTGTTTTTCCGGTGTAGGCAATGCTATTTTTAGTATTTTACTATTTTGTCTTGGGCACTTCTTTTTGACATGCAAGCTGCCATGGGGCAATCACTGTTCTTGCATCCCCTCTTTTTTTTCCTTTTTTTTTTTAAATCTAACTCAGGTTACTAAGCTATGTTCTTCTCCCAATATGCCTCACACTACCTAACTATATGCGTAAACAAACAGCGGGGAACACGCCAGGGAAACCACTTATGTCCACCGCTTGAGGCATATGATCCACTAAACCTATAAACTAACCCCCAGTGAGGAATGGCAGGGGCAAAGCCTCTCTGAGAGAACCCAGGACCTTACAAAGCCCAACTAGGGGGGCAAGCCAACTATCTCATCTTATAAACACGAAGCACGCTGCAGGCAGCTATGGGGGATTCAACCCACAACCTCCTGCGAGTGCCACTTGCATTTCTCGATTTATGTGTGTCATCCTTGTGCAGGGGCCATTCAAATCTCTTCCCTGTCTCGTTCCAATTTTAATGAATGTCCAATGTCCATCCTCTTTATTTCATTCGATACCTTTCTTCTGAGTCCGCAAGGCACTCACAAGCGAGGATCAGTTTACGGGCTGAATGCAGTGTCAACCTCGACGCGTGAACTTACCGGAATGTCGCTCGGGAAAAAAAGTCACTGGTGCAACGTCCGATAGTATCACACGATGCAGCGCTCTTGTAAGGACACCCGAAAGATTAGATAATCTCAGCACAGTATGTTTCATGTATTGCTCCCGGCTTAACACACATGAATTAGAAAAAGAACAAAGAAATTAGAAAAAGAACAAAGAAAAGAACTGCAAGAAGATTGCTGCTCCATGCTGCTTTCTGTTTTTTTTTTTGTTTTTTTTTTCCCTTGCTTTTGTTTCGTTTGTAATGAACCCAACACTCGTGAGAAGCTTCAGCAACATGAACATGCAAGTAGTTGCAATGCACCAAACGCGGAACCAATCGCAACGTAGAACAAGTCATGAAGCACTCAATGATGTCCCAGACTCAACAGCAAGTAGCCAGAAGTGAGACAAAGGTAGAGAAGAAGTAGAGAGGAGGAGGACAGTCTCATTAATAACCAATAATACAATTGAAACGGCTCTATTGTTACCCCTCCTCCTTCGGGACCTCCCATCACCTGCCACCTCAGCGTCCAACTAGGAAGTCTCTCCTCACTTCCGGCAACAAAGGCTTGGCTATCGAGTTTGGCACATGTGCATTATTTCACTTATCAAATCAAAGTTATAAAACCAATGACGAGAAAGAGAAATAGAAAGTTAGTAGAGAAACCCGTGACCTTGGGCGGGCACTTATCGATGTGTCCGGAGGTGGCCACACGTAGCGTGCAATTGTTGTTCCAAAGACTGTGTTCAGCGCAGGAGAGGAGGATCAAAGTTCGTTTTGCTGCCTGCCTTTAGGAGGAAGAAGAAGAAGAAGAAGAGGAGGAGGAGGAGGAGGAGGAGGAAGTAAGAAGCCAGAAGAATCAGTAGCAGGAAGCAGGAGCACCAAGAAGAATCACGAAGAAGGAAGAAGAAGAAGAAGAAGCCAGAAGCGATGCAGCAGCAGTTGCCTAGTCCCATGGAATTGCATGTCCACCCTGTCGGTAGATTGCCATCTCTCTCATTAATGAGAGAACGGACAATCCTGAAAGCTCAGGGTTATACCAACTGGGTGCCTATTTCAAAGAGGAGTGGAAACACCAGCTAACACTTGAAAACAAGGAGTTCACCATCTCGCGTGTAATTGGCCTGGTAAGTACTTTGTCGTCAGGAATTCTCTCAGCGACCCTGAATGTTTTCCAGACAACTCACCGTTGGTGGCCAGCTGTAAAAGGCAGACAAGGTGAGAGACGCACACCATTTTTTGTTGGTGTGCATGAAATGTACTTCCGTCTTCACCTGAATGCCACGTACGGTCATTATAGACACAGAGATTGGGGCAACTTCGAGTGAAACTGTTTCACCCAGTTGACTCGACATTGCAGACACAGAGATTCAATCCCCAGGCCTGTGCCCTAACCCTGTACATTGAACCTGTGTGCTGAGTGAGATTCGATCCCTAGACCTATCCTATACCTGTACATAGACCCAGTGACCTTGAGTAGGATTCGATCCCTAGACCTGCTTGACGTCCTAGGCTAGTCTGTAGGTCGGACAGTAGGACTTGATCCCTAGGTCTGTAAATTAGGAGTTAGGTCTGTTACCATTAGGCTTAGGAAGGTCTGTTCTAGAAGTCTCTATCTAAGTGTACTGAGGCCTAGAGTCTGTCTGTAAGTCTGTGGGCTCTAGAAGGTCGTAGGTCCCTGTAGGCCAGTCCAGTCAGCAAGTACCAGGGGTAGAGGCTGCACGTGGGGAAACGGGGAGGCCCACGCGTTCTGGAGAAAATTCCAGGATTCGCGTTTTGGGGCCCAGCTGTTGTACATGTTTTGGCCCAAGGAGTTCCACGCGGTTTGAGCCTACCAGGCCCATGCGGTTTGGAAACTTCCAGACCCGGACCTCACACGTTCTGGCCCAGGCCCACACGTTTTGAGGCAGGTCCCGGGTACCTCTGAAGGAGTATAAATAAAGAGGCAGCATCCAGCCATTCATTCATTTGCCTGTGTGCCATGCGGAAGAGCTGCCTTGGTATCTTGTGCGTGGAGGACTGCAGGTGCCCGTAGAAGAAGTGGGCTGTGAAGAAGACAGTGGCCAGAGCGAACCAGCGAGGCAGACACCGGCAGCCATAGCTAGGAAAAGGAAGACGACGGCGGCCACAGCCGCCCAGCTGCTGGTGCAGACAGGGTGTATACAGTGTGTGTGTCTGTGCTGCGTGGACGTTCAGGGTGATCCTCGTACGTGCGTGTTTGCGAGAGTGTGGGGAAGTGAGGGTGGTGGTAGAGACAGTGTTCGGCTGCCATAGCCGCAAGTTGTACAGTTGATTCAGACTGAGTTTAACACAAGTTCATTGTTGTTTCTGAGTCGGAAGAGTTCGGTTTTGCCATCGGGTCTCAAGTGTGCATGTTGTGAGCAAGTCCAGAGTCGAGTCTGATTGCATCGAGTCTGGATACAGCAATAATCAACGTACGACGTACATTGTATTTGGGTGAAGACGGTAGAAAGGCCACTGTGGTTGTTATTTTCAAGGCACTTGTTGTCGCCCAAGCCTCTTGCGTGCAGTGACCTGTTACCTCCTGGTGAATCTTCCGTGAGGTCTCCCATTTGCTGTTGGTCAGCTGAAAAATTCAAACCACACAACCACCATTTCACATTGATTGTCAGTTGTGTGCATACAAAAGACTAGAAAGGTCAGTATGTTTGTGTGTTTTCAAAGCGATTCTCGTCAACGCTGTTTAACCTTTTAGAGAACTGTGCCTCTTTTGTTGCCAATTAGTCCCTCAGCTGAACCTCTCCTCATGGATGATGAATTCTCATCACCTGTTGGGGCAGCTGAACGCTGTTGACTCAGCTGAACCTCCGAAGGTGCGCTGGTGGCCTCGAGTTGAAAACTGCGTGCCTGCCGATTCGACTTGTGGAACTGGGCTTGTGGTCTTACCATCTTCCCCCAAACACATTGCACCTCCATTTCGGCTGTACGCGATCGGAAATATAGCTTGTAGCCTTGTATACATTCCTTGACAGAGTGTGTTATGTCCAGGGGAAGACGGTAGCTATCACCGTCACCGTACAGTTATTGGCCTCACTGGTACTTGTTCGGTTCTTGATTTGACGACCGTAAACTAAGGAACGAGCAAGAATATATCTCACAGATTATAACAACTGCAAGTGACATTCACGTTATCGTAAATAATGCAGGAAAAAGATCGACAAATGCGATAGTTCACAGGATATGTGTCTAGCTTTTACAAGAGGCATGAAGTGTTTGATTCTCGATCAAAGCATTTCACGAAGTGGGCGTCAAACAGGCCTTAACAGCCATATATTTTTGGCTCTAATGGCAATGCCAAACAAGAGCTTCCATCATGGCATCTTGACAACTACGTTCGGGCCTAAATCCATAAGAGTTAGGTTCAAAGCGGGCTTCTTCCCATTTGGGTTCTAGAATCATTTTAGCTAATGCCTGTTAAGCATGTGTGGAAATCTGGGAATTAGAAAAGAGGGAGACCAATGGCTGCTGCCATGCTGCGCAATGTAGAAAGTGGGGTAACCCGCAGAATGAAAGGGATGGTGGGAGGAGAGGTAGTTGATTGGTGTCCCCCACCAAATGCAACGGGTCTCCAAAGTATGGAATGCTTCTGTGAAAAAATGGGTGAAATTGGTGAATGTTTTATTTTCTTTCCTTTTTTTGGGGGGTAACCCCCCTCAGAATAACCCCCTCCACCCTTCCTCTGATCAATTACCAGTGGATGAATGGTCTTCTGTGAGGACTTCCAGTTTTTTACTACCTTATCTTTCTGACAAACTGTGTCTGTTTTCGTTACAGGTAGACATCCTTGGCGGTGGTCGCATCGACCATTCACCAGTAAGTCAGTCAATCCAGATTTATGGGTTTTCTTCTGCGTATGGGCAAGCGGATCATCACACAACTGCAGCCATTTTACGCCGCTGGTTTCCGTTCTATCGGTCAATCACTGTGTCGTATGAAGGGTATTGAGCCAGAGCTGCTGGGTTTTATCCTTCCTGTCAATCCGCAGGTGAGCTGGTGGACAAGCTTGTACGGGGATTTAAGTGATATTCTCACTTCAGAGGTATGTGACGCCTTGACTGTTGGTTAATAATGTTGTTGTGAGCGCTGAAAAGTTTCTCGGTCAGTAGAAGACCATGTCCAGAGTCAGGGTCTTGCAAGCACTGAGAAGTTTATCTGTCAGCATTTCTGCGTGTTCAGAGTCTTTGCGCTTTTCCGTTTTTATCTTGGGCTTAGGGCTTTGAGTTTATAGTCTCTGGGGTTAAGAATCTCAGCATTGAGGGGTCTCGAGTGGGGTCTAGGAACTGAGCTGCAGTTTGATTTCGGCTTTTCAGCTCCATGTTATCGTGCTGAACACCGCCTTTGTGAAATTTGCTCTAGGTGGCACAACATCGGAGCATCTCGATGAGGAGGACGACGGGGCCCTTTTCCTCTCCCCTCCCACGCGAGAATTGGAGGAGACATGGTCTGCGTGCCTTCTCGGGATGCCTTTGCAATGTGCGACAATGGACACACAGGACTTCAGGAATTGATCGCCAAGAAGAAATACTCGCATCGATGACTGACTTTTTTTCACCTGGGACCAGGTGACGTACACTGTGTTGGTGTCGAATGGTTTCAAGGATCGGATTCCCAGAGTTCCATGGTATTCAACGACCCAAAAAATGAGGTTTATTCTGTTAAGAATCTGAAGATATGTCTTTGTGCCGTCCAAACTTTGCTCCTCTTGCGTGTCATAACCCTTCATCCATTCCTCTTCCTGCCAAAGTCGATTATTTTTCCACTGTGGAGGGCTTTGTCCCCGAATGAGCTAATTTGATGAGAACGCCACTCGCTTTGAGACAAGCCTGAACTGGACCACAGAAAGCAGTGAAAAGCTAATTGTTAAGAACAGGAAGGGATATGTGTGTGTGCGTGTATGTGGGTGGGTGAGAATGGGCGTATAGGGGTGGGTCCGGGGGCGGGGGTCTGTGTGTGTGTGTGTGTGTGTGTGTGT